ATATCACAAACTTATGTCTGAAAATTTTAACAGATTTTTTCAATAAATAGTTTAAACAGACGAGAGGAAAATTCCTTCAGGTATCGATTTTTCAACTCATAATATTACCAATTATTGAACACTCGAATGATATCGTATCGTGAATAGAATCGTAGTTTATACTTTCAGGCAAAAACTGAATAAGGGAACGGACAAAGAGGTTCTCTCAAGTACCTCATTAGTAGCCTCTCCAAAAGATCAAGCTCGAATCTCAAGTATTTTGAGAGTCATCATATACATGTACACTTTATAAAACATATTTATACCGATTCTGCTTCAAAATGCAGCTTGAGACAGGTGTTTCTTTCTAATTTGCTAATTATCACTTACATAAGTACTTTGATTCAGATTCACTATTCTAACGTTGACGTTAGAAAAAGGTTCGAAGAGAATAGTAATATCATATCTTGACTGAAACGGATTGGACACAGATAAAGCACTTAAGAATAACTTTTTTTTTGCGTACACCATATGGATTCAAACGCGGAATTTTAAGAACAAAGGCTATCGTTGAAATTTATCCGTAGGAATGATAATTTTTTTTGGGACGGTGTTATTTTTTCCAGCTTGGAATGGAAGAATAAATAGGAACATGATTAAGTCATCTGAACATGTTACTGGCTAGTAATAAAATTGCCGTGGAGTTTTAACTTACATACGGCTTATATTTTTATAAAGACCCGACGTTACGAATGCCTTACAGCATTCATCGTCACGGGCCGGACTAATATCTACGAATGTATGAATCACTATTACGTTTTGGGCAGGAATAAATTCTCTGGATCGTAACGAGTTTCACCGAAAACGGCACACGCCGTTACATAACGAAATTTCTACTTCAACTGGCAACCTGCATTATATTATTAGCGGATCTTGTTGAAAGCTTAACTCTAATAGATCACGTTGCTCGCGCACACCGGTCTGGCAGTATGGTAGCGCAAATGTTAGAGTACGGAAATTCATTTGGATTTGTACATTTGTAGTCTATCAATCCCATAAACTCAGTAGAAGTCTTCAATCTAGGGCATGTCTGGGGCGTTCTGATGCGACGGCCGTCAGTGTAGCCTGCTCGCAGAAAGAGCTAAAGAATGTTATTATCGTTACAATATTATTCACTGGGAACGTATTCCGGAAGAAACTATAAGGTAAACTATAATGCACGGTGACAAGTTCGAGACGATCATAATATACACTTCTATTAGTATTTCACTATTACACTTCTATTATTATTATTTATTCTTATAATACATATATAATTATTATTATTATTATTTTATAATTGATTTTTAGGAGTTCCCTATGTATCTCCGGAGCCCAAGATTCTATACTAATGAAATTAATATGGGACCAGATGGGAAGCATCAGCTTTCAAATAAATAAATAATCGTCAAAATTGATTCACTCAGTCGCAAGTAGAAATGACGTAACAGACATAAAAAATGAATAAAAAATAAATAAAAAATTCCAGTCGAATTGAGAACCTCCCCCTGTTTTGACGTCGGTTGAAGATCGGAAAGGGGACAGAACTGATTATATATAACCATTAATATACAAATTAAATTCAATTGTGAAATTATATACATCGCATCTGTTTCAATACATTGAACTGAACTGACCGAATTGAATATATATACTGAATTTGACCAATAGGAAATACTTGCTTACAGTTAAAATGTTATAATATTCCAACTGGGCTATTAACACACACAGGCGTACGCTTGTTATAATTATGTTTATTTTTCATTTTTACATCATCAACTATACTATTTAATAAAGAAGGTGACGATTTGAAATAAGAATAAAATTTGGCACGTTTCTACTATAGGAAAAATTTCAAAACAACAAAACTTCAAATTATCTATAAAACTATTTAACGAACATTGCACAAAAACATAAAGAAGTCAGAATACATGCGCGTGGCTAGCCTATTGAAAGAAATAAATGCCCCTTCCCTCTCCTCCTCACCGCGTTACTAGGTACTCGTATCCGAGAGCGCGTGGATGCGGGGAATAGCCGGGAATTACCGATCGCGGTTCCGTGCTGTTCATGATCATGCCTGACGAGCGTGGTTTTAAAATTTCGCGCAGTTTCGGAAAACGGGACAATTTTGCGCCCCGAAGATTTGTTCGGGGACAACGGGACAGCTGTCCCAGAAAAGGGACAGTCCCGTTCAAAACGGGACGTATGGTCAGTTTAGCTATACGTCTTATTTTATGTCGAGTCATAAAATAATGAAATAAATTAAACAGGCTAACCAGCAATAAAAAGAGTTATATATATCACACTGTCATTGGATATTTTCATATACATTTGTGATATTTTGAGAAGGTCACGAAGTATTTAAAGAAAGTCGTGATGATCCTATCAACAATGGCCCTGCATAAGTTATGCTCCACAGTAGTGGGTTTATTGACTGTCGATATTGTGGAGTTTTGGCCTCCACGAGCACTCGATATCCGTATATCGAATGCTCGCCTTTTGGTCTAACTTGAACAGAATGGCTTCCTCTGCGATCATAAGTAATGGTTTTATTGTAAACTAGCTGTGCCCGCGACTTCGTCTTCGTGGAATTTAAAATAAGTAAAATTTCTACAAAAATGGCCCCAAATTAAGTAAATTAAGTTACTCCTTATTACATCAGCTATGAGCTATCTGCCAGAGAAAGTCCTGTCAAAATCAGTCAACCCGTTTTAGAAATTAGCCAGAACAAACAGACAGACGAAAATTTTAAAAATAACAATTTTACAATATACATATACATCCATATCCATTTAATAAAAAGCGGTTATTTTAATATTATAAACAGATAGTCCAATATATCTGTATAGATAACAACGGATAAATGTTAATCACATACAGAGTGCTTTTTGAAATAAAAAGGTATAACGAGAGAGAGAAAAAGACATAGTAAAACGAAAATCACTATTTCGATGACAGTTCTTATTTTAATGTAATCATGGTATAGTCTTGATCTACTTCTGATGGGCATCAGAAATTATATTATGGTTCAAAAGTAACGCTCATAAAACTGTAATAAATTTACAAACAACTTTATTATGTGCACATAAAATAGAATTGCTTTAAAAGATATAAAAAATAAATAAACGTAATGAAATTAAAGGTAGAAAATCACCTATACTTCTTTATCTTAACAAAACATAAATAACTAAATATTTTTATCCCCTTTACCAGTACACTTTGTTTGTGAAAATGACATTAAATTCAATTTATACATAACGGATTTTGATATTTAATTTGATCGTGATATGAACCACGGCCGTCTGTTTTGGGGCCGCCCGATTACCGACCGAGCTATTATAACATTTTATTTTGTTGCGAAATTTACTTTTTAATTATTCATTATATATATATATATATATACAGCGTGTCGTTACCATCGCGACAATAAATGAACACACGTCTATCGCTACTTGCCAATAATCATAAAAAAATATTAACGTTAAACAAAATCCATAATTAAAAAAAATATTTTTCAAACAAACTAATTAAGTAAAAAAGAAACTCGCGCACAGCGTCGCATTACAAGTCTCTCCTTCTAACAGTATGTTTTGTCTCTTTTAAATTCATTCAACCCATTCATATGTTTTGTGACCTTTACAAATGAACTTTACGTTATAGTTTTATACGTAAGGGTGTTCTAAAATTGTTTGTTTTGGAAAATTGAATAACTCGGTAAATATTGATGTTTAAAGAATGTAGATGTTTAATACAATTTTAAAAAGATATCCTCTATATGTGTGTTCATTTATTGTCGCGGTGGTAACGACACGCTGTATATACAAGAATTGCTCGTTTAAAGGATAAGATAACAAGGAATTATTGGAAGGTAAATGTCAATAGTTGTTACTGCTTGTCGTAGTAATGCCGTGGAGTTGGCCGCTTTGCAACCAACTTCGTCATGTCGCTTTTTGTCTGTTACTGGCAAAAGAATAACCAGGCCTGTCGGAAACATGTTGAAACTTAAGACTACGAACTATATTTAAAAGTCAAAACTTCATAAACAATTCCACATAGCCGTCATAAACACATAAACCGCCTTCGACTGATAAAATAAAACACAACGTTAAGTGAAAGTCAAATAGCATCAACAAACTGACAACAATCAAAAGTAAAGATGACCTGGCAAATATCACTACTGTAAATATTCGACTATGTGGCTGTAGCTATAACATCGATCCAATAATGAATAACTCCATACCGTTGTCTCGTAATATCTAATAAAGTACGCGTTCCGAACTAACACAGGCGAAGGGATATAAATAATTAAACGGTAGGAATATGACCGGGTGTTCAGCCGATGGTGCACATCTGCTAAGTCTCACATTCACCATACCTACCTTATTGGGGTGTGTGACTTTGAAATTGATACACGTCAGTGTGAAACTTGGTCGAATAAAAATCGATCATCACTCACTGGACTTAGAAGGATACCTTTGATACTGTTTAAGGCATATTAGTGTTGATTAATTTCTTAGTTCTAAATTTAAATTTACCAAAATTCTGTCGAAAGAAGAAAATAAAATTAAATCACCATCTTCAGGCAAGGAAACTAAAAGAAATCAAGGTATATAGCATCGTGATGTTTAAAAATTTATTTTATTGAAGTGTCGGATTTAAACGTTCCATTGGGCTTTGCAGATGATGACCAAAACGAAGTCGCAGGGCCTTGTGTCCGATTTGATGCCAAATATCAAGTTGATGCAAATGGCTGGACATTTCTTGTTCAATTATTACCCAGGTATTTTTTTACATTTTTACATAACGTATGTAATATGTTCGCTATCGTTAATTATGAAAGCGAAGTTCATCAAAACAAATGTTATAATGTCGCTCCTCCTCAATATGTACTTTAATTTGCAGATAATGCTGGGATGTCAGTACTTCTTAGAAAGATCTACGCCTGCGTACACGCAATTTTTATAATAGTGCACTTCTTATGCATGGTCGCTAATATGGCCCAATACTCTGACGAAGTTAATGAGCTCACCGCTAATACTATAACAGTGCTATTTTTCGCTCACTCAGTTATTAAACTGGTATTCTTTGCTGTCAATTCTAAGAGCTTTTACAGGTAAGTTAAGAAACTTAAAATGAGTTTAAAAATAAATGAAATAAAATATATTTGGCTAATCAAAACGACCTGTACACAAACATTTAATTAATGATAAAAAGAGACAATTACTATACTTATAGTCAAATAAATCGAATTGACAATTTAAATTTGTAATACAATATAAATTGTCAAAGCTTGTATGAAAAAAACATTTCACATAAAATTGTAGACATGTTTTCAAATATCTTTTGTTCATTCTTTATCTACGAAATGAGAAAAACGTTACCTACTTATTCAAAATGTAGTACTTTCTTAATTATTAATAATTGCTTGAAATTTCAAGCACTTTAAAAACATCTCAAGTTTGACTGACAAATAATAATCATTGCAAAGCCTAAAGTTGTTTTCTTTATGATATTGACATTTAAAACAATTTATTTTATTCTTAATGCGACAGAATATAATTAATTAACCAATATGAGTCACTTTGTTCAGATTATTTATTTTTGCCATTTGCTGTTGAAACTTTGGGCTCGTGGGGTCCCCGTACATGAAAATTTTTGAAAGGTTTACATCCTAGGCTTTCCGCCGGGGCTGGTGACAAGAGAGCTGAGTCTTTTCTCGCTCAAAGGTTAATCATAACTATTCAGCGAGGAAATACAGGGTTCTTGGCACCATGCCGCGTGGATAAGATTTATTAGATAATATATAATTTAGATAGATTTAATATTTTAAATGTTAGATAAATTAATTGTATATATATATATATATATACATATTAATGAACTAAATCCCTGTAGAATTTGTAATTATTAATAAACCAATTTCTTGATCCAGGACCTTGGCAATGTGGAATCAGTCAAATAGTCATCCACTTTTTACGGAATCTGACGCGAGGTATCACCAACTGGCGCTCACTAAGATGAGAAGATTACTATACTTTATTTGCGCCATGACTGTACTCTCTGTTATCAGTAAGGAACAATTTTGTAATTTTTTTTCTTATTACGTCAGTGTCCAATCTCAAATGAGCTGTAGATGCTTCTTTTACTGTTATTTATTATATATTTAAGATTTTTAGATTAGTATTTCTGTACTCGGAAAAGGTTCTATCAAAATTAACATAAACATTTGGATTGTACAGGTTGGGTAACAATAACTTTCTTTGGAGAATCAGTGCGTTTGATTACTAACAAGGAAACTAACGAAACTCTTACTGAACCAGCACCAAGGCTGCCTGTAAAGGCCTGGTATCCATTCGATGTGATGAGCGGTACTATGTATGTTGCGGTGTTCATATTTCAGGTACATTTTTATATTCTAAAGATTTGAGGTTATTTAAATTTACGATTTAATTTTTAACTGTGCAAAAGCTGATAAATAATGTAACTTAAAAATTTATTCAGGTTTACTGGCTTCTTTTCTCTATGGCTGTTGCCAACCTGCTTGACGTAATGTTCTGCAGTTGGTTGATTTTCGCGTGTGAGCAATTGCAACATCTAAAAGCTATTATGAAACCTCTCATGGAACTGAGTGCTTCTCTGGATACCTACAGGCCGAATACTGCCGAGCTATTTAGAGTTACTTCCACAGGCATGTTAAATTTATTTTAAAAAAAATTTAATTTATAAATTTTTCAAAACTAGTTAACTTCTAGATACTATTATACTGGAGAAGAGCGAAGTACCCTATCATGAGCTAGCTAAAGGCATTAGGCTTTTTAATTTATTTATGCAGGAGTAACTGGATCATAAATATTGGAAAAGGAAGTCAAAGATTCAAGTCTGTGGTATAGGGCTCCTTATATGGTAGATTTATTTATGAAAAAAAAACAGCCTATACATGTCCCACTGCTGGGAAAAGGCCTCCTCTATATAGAGGGTATCAGGGCATAGTCCACAACGCGGCCCAACTGCGGATTGGCGGTCTTCACATATCTTCGAATTTTTTTTTTGTTATTAATTCGAAAATATGCAGGTTTTCATCACGATGTTTTCCTTCATCGCGGAACACGTGATAAGTCAGCACTTAAAGTTAAAAACTTCATTGGTGTCGGCACCGGGGACCGAACTCAGGTTGCTCGAGTATATTGAATTAAAGGCGAGCGCCCGGACACTGGACTATCACGGCTCAGTGTCCGGGATTTATATATGATATTATGATGTATATTATAGTCATAAAAACGAAAATTTACGTAATAAAATGAGAGATGTTGCAAATTGTTTAAAAGATAAGTTTTCTTGTCAAAGGCAGAAAGAATTTATTAGTAGCCTGCACCTAAAACACAATTCTTTAAGAAATTATAAATCGTCATAAAAATCGAAAAATGGGAATGAAAAAACCGCCCTGTAAGACACTAGTATTCGAAACAGTCCACAAAAGTTCCGTTCTTCTTGCCGCACATTAATTTGCTGCTGTTGTTCCCCTAATCAAGTAGCATTGCTCAGTAACTTTTTCAGCATCATACGTGTGTAGCAGTAAAATTGTTACATTTATCTGGTTAGTAAAAAAATATATAGTCTACTTCAATTATAGCACACTCTGCGTTATTAGCATTTTCAACTACCGTCTGCTTAAAAAGTTATATAAATAAATAAATGATTTAATATGTCCTGCTCGCTTTGATTTTACTTTACTCAAGTAACCTGAGCTAGTCCTGGTGCTGGCATACATAAAAATATTAATAAATTGATATCACTGTGGACTTATCTCTCTGGTTAAGCGGTGGAACCTGAATATTTTCAAATTATTATCAGAAAAGAAAAATATTTTGAAGATTTCTGCAGTCTGCCTATACGCAATGGGGTCGCCTGGTGGACTATGTTCTACCTCTGCAATACCCTCTGTACAAAGGAAGCCTTTGCCCAGTTGCATGGCATCATTTTATAAACTGTTACTTTTTTATTTTAAATCTTTTTTTTAATGCGGATAATAATTTCAGCATGTTATTTACAAAATATTACAATACAATAAAATATTATATTCAAACTTAACAAAATGCGTACAGTATAAAAAGGAATATATAAACTAATAGCTAGGCCTAGGCCAAATATTTAACTTCCTATTACGCTTTTCATAATAGAAAAATCGGAGAAGATTCCAGAGACAGTGGATTTAGATATCAGAGGAATTTATTCTACTCAGCAAGATTTTGGTATGATTGCACGTGGGGCTGGTGGTAGACTTCAAACTTTCGGTCAACCAACTGCAAATAATCCAAATGGCCTTACGCAAAAACAGGAATTGTTGGCTAGGTCTGCTATCAAATATTGGGTAGAAAGACACAAGCATGTTGTAAGGTATTTAAAATTATATAATATTAGAGCAGCGAGTATAATGTACCGGCAATTACAGTTATTCGAACAAAAACAAATATTATTTTTCATTCGCTTAAACCAAAATTAACTTAACACATTCCGGTTAACTATACAAACCCTAGATATTTTTTTTTAGATTAGTCGCTTCTATAGGCGATACATATGGCACTGCACTATTATTCCATATGCTGGTGTCGACAATAACTCTAACTTTACTAGCATACCAAGCAACAAAGGTATGTATTTTATTCATGTATTTTCATTACCTGTACCAAATTCAAATTGTATTTACCGATTTATTTCATTTACTTTGAATTTTTCAGATCGATGGTTTGAATGTGTACGCTTTTAGTACGATAGGATACTTGAGCTACACACTTGGCCAAGTCTTTCACTTCTGCATTTTCGGCAACAGATTAATTGAGGAGGTATGAAAGTCAGTTAAAAGTCGAAAGTGCTTAGACTTCATCATTATTAAGATGTTACTTCACATTCCATTCACAGAGTTCGTCGGTAATGGAAGCAGCCTACTCTTGCCAGTGGTATGACGGCTCTGAAGAAGCAAAAACATTTGTCCAAATTGTTTGTCAGCAATGCCAAAAAGCGATGAGTATTTCGGGGGCAAAATTCTTTACGGTGTCTTTGGATCTGTTTGCCTCGGTAATTTAGGTTCAAATATCAATATTGCTCGTGTGAAGTGCGTGTACACGATTTGCTTGACAAAATTTTGAATAAGTTGCAAGTGTTTTATTATTAAAATACTTGCAACTTATTCACCACTTTATACTATTGTTGATAATTTTTAAGCATCATAATGAAACATTTATACGATAGTTAGGTTCAATTACATTTTGTTAGTTAAAAAAAATTAGGACTAATTTGACATAATATTAGACAACAAACTTCGGTGCCACGGCTATTGAATAAACTTAGCCTGTAAAGAGTCTGAATGTATCACTTTAAGTAATACTTGCCCTTCAAGATATCCTTTCGGCGCTTGACAATAATATCCTTTTTGAAGAGCTTAGAGCTTAGTCCGTTGCTCGGTTAGTACTGTCACTCGGTAAACGTTGGCGATGCTTTTGCCACTCTGGTGTTGTTGCGAATGTTCACCGTTTGACGTTATTCACCATCAGGTGAACTGCCCTAGTGACATTCTGCGGACTACAGTAGAGTAATTCAATCAAGTTTTTGTGTTTGATTTTAGTTATAATAAGTTTCCAGTTTTTGATTGAACTCATCTAATTACAGTAATTTTTAAATGTCGACATTGCAGCTGTTTAAAATATGCATTACTTCAGATCATGTTGCAAATGGGGGTTGACGTCCAGCAGGCGGTTAGCCGTAAAAACCTGTCCGAACCCATTGACAACCCTACCTAAGTGGTATAAGGGCAGGAGAATGAAGAAGAGTTTATATTGGATTAGTGACAAAACATATACTTGCTGCTGAGATATAGCTAATGAAATGAATTTTAACCCTATTTCAGGTGCTCGGTGCTGTGGTGACATATTTCATGGTGCTGGTGCAACTGAAGTAATGGCACATCAGTAGACCTAGGGATCTGTTTTAAAAAATATATATTATAAGTATAACAGAGTAGTTATTGTAAATGAAGCTTTATGGTAAAGAAAAAAATATAACACCTAAGAAATTATGATATCCGAACACTAATTATTCCAGTACCTAATTACAAGTAAACATGTAAATACAAGCCAAATGGCTCCTTGGTGCTATTGCCAAGGCTTTGGCACCGGGGGTCGTGGGTTCGATTCCCGCACGAGACAATTATTTGTCTTAGCCACTGAAAATTTTTTTTGGTCTGGGTGTTTTTCCCACGTCAAAATTATGTAAGTAATTAATGTCAAGTCGCACTCACCCTGATGAAGGACCTCAGATGGGTCGGAAACTAGTCGTTACATACACCGGTTTTACGTGAGTTCAGCCTTCTTAATATTACAATATTTTACGCATTAATGATAGCGCACAAATATCGATTAAAGAGGCTTAGTTTCATCTATATCTGTTGTGGCTGGCTTGTTTTATTTTCTTATCTTTCCCATATACTAATATTTTAATGTTCTTGTCCTTAAACACTTTTTTAAAATAAAAATAGTGAAGATTTTGTAGACAAAGATTTTTTTATTTCAATTTTGTGTACCAATTGAAAAGCATTGAAACCAAAGCGTCTATATGAATGCCATACATTGTAATAACCACCATGAAAGTTTAATTTAAATAATTTCATTTATTGAAACATTACGTTAGTTTGTACTTTGTTTTGGTAGCTCTCGGAAACGTCAAGTAGAGCAAGGTCGATACAGGACCCCTCCGACCGGGTTCCCGCCTTGACGTGGCGGAAGGGCTTAGTAGCCGTGGCGTGGTCACCCACGGCGAAGCTAAAAGTAACCCACAGTGGGCCGGCCTATGGTGTAAAGCTGGCCTGAGAGGGCTGCTCCGAGTGGGCTCATTGAGCCCACTCTGGATGCGTGCTAGAGGGTGCATGGGACAGGTCGAGGGTGGTAGAGGTGGAGCCTCTCTCCCTGTCTTCTGCTACCGAGAAGGAGTCGCGGGGGAAGAGGAGTGTCGGTATTGTGCTGGCCGCGCTCCCTATCCTCCGCGATTCGGCGGGGCTGCACCGCTGATTCAGTGGTGGTGGGCCCGCGGGGGGAGAGGTGTCGGTATTGCGGTGCGCCGTTCTCCCTACCCTCCGCGGCCGAAACGTGGTGAGCGGCGGAGCCACAGACCAGGTCCGCCGCTGGGGGCTGGGAGACTTGCTGCTTTTTGGCATGGGCTCTCCTGGCTCCCATGGCCTCTGGTCAGCGAACTCGGGGGAGTTCGTTGGCCATGAAAAAGGGGCCGAGTAGCTCCCCGGAGGGTTGCTCCCCGGGAGGGGGCCGCTGAGGCGGCCAGCGCTGGCAGGGTCGCGGAAGTGTGCGAAAGCGTTCCCGTGGCCCTGCCTATATGCGCCTAGGTGGAATATCGTGGGGGTTTTAGTCGGTGCGAGTCCGACATAACCCGCTCTCGCCCCCGCGAGGGCGGGTATGCGTAGGCATTTCCCCCACGTTTAAAAAAGGAAAGAAAAAGGTCGATACAGGAAGTGAGAGAGTGGACTTGACGGTTATGAGTTGTGAAAGTCAATTGACATCGGACACGGGGGTGTGTTCTGGACGTGCTCGGGCACGCCACTTAGAAAAGGGACGGCGGTGCGAACGGTCATCTTCCTGTATCGAACTTGCTGCGTTTCCGTTTAATTACATCGGTGTGGTTAATAGTTATTTTCGTTATTGTTGATTTTAATCGAACAAGTAGACTACATTACTATGTGATAACTTTTACTATGTCCGATGAGGGATATATTTAAATAAAAATATATATTTAAAAATATATATCCTAGAATGTTTATTTTTTTTTATGCGAAAAGTTGTCAAACGAGCAGACGGTTCACCTGATGTTACGTGAATACCACCGCCCATGGACATCTGCCACACCCGAGGGCAACAGATGCGTGTTCTTTCAAGCGACGATTTTAAGAACATGGAATTTTATTGTCCATTTATTGAATAGAAATTCACAGGCATAAAATATTCTAGTTACTATTTCATAGAAAGTACTACTTATGTGTGTTTTATAATAAATCTTCATTTCTTGAAAAGGCTAACTAAGGGATGTTATCGTTTCTCCTTTCATGTAGCGTTTCTTTGATAGCATTTGTGTTGGGACGCAAGATGGGCTCTATAAATTGAATAAAAAGTAGTGTACAGGGACGCGATCTACTTTATAAATCTTTATCTGTGTAATGTACGGTAGTTCAGTACTTTGACCACATAATTTAAAAAGGGAATTTAATAGAATGAATAACTTCAAAAAGTAATGGTTCTATGTTAACTGATACAGCAAAATAAAATCATAACTATATTTATACTAAAACCTATTACAAGAGTACTATCTTCTAATGCACGCAATGCAATTACGCAAAAAAAAAAACACTGCTTAGTGCCTGAAAAACTTGTTACAACATTTAGGCCTTTATTGGAATAACAAAAAATGTGTATAGGATCGTACGCTTATTTTTTTGAGCTAAAAGCATTACTGATAATAACTCGTAGGTGTGAGGTAAAATGATAAATTATTTTTTTTGTATTTGTTGTGAATGTTATTTCTTAAGCAAATTACAATTTTTTATTGCAAACACTGCTAATTATCTTCGATCGTAGAGTAATTCAAACAATGGATTATGGTACCTTTTCTTATCTTGTCTACCGCTTTTTTAACAAAGATCGCAAGCGGCGCCGTGGCTTAGTTGGTTAAAGCGCCTGTCTAGTAAACAGGAGATCACGAGTTCGAATCTCGTCGGGGCCTGGCTGTACTTTTTTTAAATATATTTTAAAACTTTTTTCATAAATATTTCACTCGAACTGGTTTAAAAAATTTGCAATGTAACTTAAATATCTTGAGATAATTATTTTATTTTGTCATAGATACTAATTTCACTTGAAGTGATCCTTAAGAAAATTTTCTTCTATTATGGCTGAAAGTTAAATTTATGTTATACAAGCTTTTCTTCCACGGCTTTGCTCGCATTGAAACCCTTAAATAAATATCTTTTTTTTTTTAATATGTTTTTCTTTTATAAAAAGAATCGTATGTCCTTTTTGATATCTGTAAAAATATGTGTACAAAGTTTCATGATATATCGGTTGCATAGTTTTGGCGTGAAAGCGTAACAAACAAACTTACAAATTGGACAAGTACTTATTAACATGAACACTAATACATATTCGTCGTTCGTTATCAGAGCGTCTGATTGCACAATGGAGCTATAACAGATTCCAGAGCGTACAGTAAACAATGAAGACATTAAGCCTTTCAGGTAACAATGAGGACATAAGATGACACATAGCATCCCCACCATGGTACACTACAATAAATACGAAGAGTTGGCACATATAGGACAATTCCATCACCGTCAGTTTAGAATCACTCAAGCTAAAGTTATTTTATTTATCTTTAGAGCCATATCGACTTTAAATAGTTTCACTGTTACCCATGCGGGGCCAAGAACGCAGAACTCGCCGTAAATAGATTTCGATTATAAATTCAGTTAAATTTCCGGCCAAGTTTCACGCAGTCTCTTAAGGCTTGACAGCTCCGAACGAACCAAACAAACAAGTCAAAGGGAAGAAATAATGAAAAAAGGAAGAGGACATACTGAAAACTACAGTCAACATGCGTTTTGTGTGAGTTCCGAGTAGCGTAAATCCTTAAAAAATCCGTTTCACCTCAATCTACCGACTTCTGTACATAAAATTAAGTAACTGTGTTATGTTAGTCCGCCCCGTTCTGATATCGGGTGATAGACCCTGATTTTAAACAATTCTTCATAGTGAAGACATAATCATGGACTCAATAACTTTGATTAGCTACGTCCCGTCATACAACGGTGACGCGATTACATTATATAATTTTATAACATGTGCAAAACAATGGCTTAAAATCGCAGGAGGTGATACTCCTGAAAATGTGATGTTATTATTAAGTAAACTTGAAGGCAAAGCCGCCGTAACGATAAGTATGGTAGATCATGATTTTCAATGGACAAAAATTGAAAAAATATTAAAACAAGAATGTGAAGATAATCGAGATTTGGATACATTATTAAAAGAACTATCAACTATTAAGAAAAAAACCACATATAAAGATTTGATATTTGAGTTAAAACAAAAGTTATTTTTTATTAAACATAAGTTATTAGATAAGTACACAAATAAAGAACTAGTTGAAGAAGTTATGGAACCATTCATTAAAACAGCTCAAAACACACTAAGAATCAGTCTACCGTATCACGATCAAATTTATGTTTCAAACTGTAACTTTAGTGAAACCTGCAAAAAAATATTAGTGTTGGAGGCAGAAGGCAGATTCGACAACATAAAAGCTACATTCTTAAATGATTTGCCATCGTCAAGCATAATCAATTCATACCCAAATTTTTCTACACCGTCACAACACGTACACCTCAAACAACCTTATAAACAACAAAATAGTAACGCACAAATAATCCCTGCGTATCCCTCAACACAAAGGTCAATAAATAAAAGACAAGCAACAAGACCTGATGTTTCATATAACTATAAATATCTCTGGGTACCAAACGCCATTAACATTTCCAGTAATCCACAAAATCCTTACTTCAGACAACATCATAAACCTTTAGTACAAAACCAAACTGCAATGGAAACCGACGTAATAAAGAGAACGGTATATAAGGTAAGAACAGGAAAAATAAATTTAGGAATGGTAGCAGAAGAAATATCTCATCATAAAGTTAAGAACTTTGAATATCCTTACGTATACAATGAACATGATCACGACGATTATTTCTATAGTATTGCTAAGAATCCCGCGGAAAATTTAACTAATAACTATGAAGAACAAAATATCAATTTTCAAGGCAATTTAATCAAAAATAAATGCCAAAAAGGTTATGTAAAAAAAAGAAGTCTTACCTATATAATGGAAGGGAAGTGGATCATT